TTACAAGAAAATATTAATGATCTTAGTAGCATTTCCAACAGTCCTCGACTTACAACAGTTCATTTAGTGACTGTTCAATGTTACAATGACACTGAAAAAAGCACCCTCGTGGTCATGTGATCAAAATTCATATACTTGGCAACTGACTCATATTTATGACTGTTGCTTGTCTCGGGATCACGGGATCACCTTTTGCGACCTTCTGATAAGTCAATGGGGACATGTCACTTAATAATCATGTCACTAACTTAATAACTGCAGTGATTCACTTAGCAACTGTGGCAAGAAAGATTGTAAAATGAGGCAAAACCCATTTAATAACTATCTGGCTTAGCAACAGAAATTTTGGGGTCAATTGTGGTCGTACGTCAAGGACTGCCTATATTTATAAAAGCAGTTTGCACCAATGTTAGCAGCCAGTGCTGCTTTTGATAAATATGTTTAGGAAAATTTAAAGTAAATTATTGATAGTTTAAAAAAAATACAGTAGGAATCTACATACATTTTAATTTGCTCTTTATTCTCTTCTTAAACAAAAGGATACAACTAGCTGGATATATGGTTGTGCAAACAGTACTTCATCGAAGTGGTAAGTGTATTTTATTTTTATGAGATTATGAAAATAATTTCCTATTTAAAATATTTATTTAATTGAAGGGAAACCCCCTGGAGAAGATATGATACCTCCACAGGAATATGACTAGACTTTTTTCAGAAGTAGATAAAACATGTGTTGTGCTGTCTCATTGAAAACTAACCATTCTTCAAAAAGGGAAATTGGCAAAAAACCTGCTAATAATCATCCCATTAGCCTGCTAGATATTTCTTCTAAGTTTGTCATGGTCCAGGCTCAGGATTCAGATTCTGAATCTACTCTGAAGAAGTTGCTCTGTCTGAACAAGAGGAAGGGTAGCCTCAGCAGACACTTTATGCCAGATATTTTTAAAATAAATTAGAAAGTTGGAAAAAAGAAACAAAATTCTTCCATCCAGAATAGTCAGGTTTTCAAAAAGGACATAGCTCATTAGATCACTGCACCACTTTGAAGGTTCTTACTCAGAAATATACTAACGGACACACAAAACAACCTCACATTTTACCTCTATCTTTTATTCAATTGACAGATCTTGATTATGGAAGAAACTAGTAAGGACAGATATTGATAGGTGCCTTCTCAAACTAATAATAATTACAGCTAGAGAAAGAATGGGCCTACAAAGGTCTTTGTCAGATCCTGTTTTATTGGAGAGAGGAGTTAAAACAAGGCTGTTTACTTGCTCCTTTCTTACTTCATATTAATGATATTGTGGCAGCCATTAAGTCACAATTTTTTTTCTCCTCCTTACTTAATGGATGGAAAATGTTACTGTTCTTTCTTTATTCATGTCAGAAGGACCTTCAAATTATAGATATACAACCTTCAGTACTGAGCAAATAAAATAGGTGGAAAACAGATCATAAAAGTATGGTATATGTAAAACATATGTAAAATAAATAGGATTAAAATTAAATGACATTCGCTCAGTATTGGGCCACATTGACAGCATTTTCTCTCACCAGCGTGAAGTCTTCCTCTATAAATGTTGAAGGATATTGTATGCTCCACAGCATATGTGAAATGGATTCTTCTTCTCCACTTGTATGTTAATGTATGTTGATCACATGGCTCTTATTTCCTGTACCAGGATTGATCTTTGAAGATTATTGGTCAGACTAGCTGACTGTTGTGAAAGGGAAAAATACCTGAAGATAACATAGTTAAAACAAAGGTACTTCTGACAGAAGTAATATTAAACATAGCTGGACAATTACTGCCAACAAATAGAGCAATGCCCCATTTTTAAATACTAAGCATCACTTTTCATAAGTTCCTTATATTGAAAATACATTTAATTACGATCTAAAAACTGCCCAACATACAGTGGGCATTATTCAGAAGTTTTAATATTCTAAAGGAGGGCAGCTGAACTTAAAATATTCCAGAGCAAAGTAGTAGTCCAGGTGTTGTATGGAGCTAAGATCTGGGGGTGAGATGAAAAGATTATTGCTCAATTGGAAGAAGTCCAAGGAGATTTTGCAAGTGCCCCGTTGAATAATGCCTATGTCCTTGTGGTGTTGGTCAAGTAGAAGGCATTATTTATTATGTCCTTCCCCTGCCCATTTACAAGGAATTTAGGGCCAAATTATAGCTGGTAGGTAAATTCAAGGACTCAGATCTCAAACAATTAAACAACCATCTTGCAGACTGGTTTCCAGTTGTTAACAATCAGGTTGCTACTTGCTCTGCTGTCATTTAAATTTAGAAAGAAATTACTGAAGTTCTTAGTTGTACCTCTGGCTTTATTTTGCTTTAAACTTCTCACATATAATACCCTTATAATTTGCAATCTTACTATTTTACTGCTACTTTATTGTATTTTGTGATATACTGTATGTTATGACCTGTAATTACAACAATAACACACTTGCTTACTAATGAAAAGAGTAATAAAGTAATCTTAAAGCAATAAGCTATAAAACAATATAAAATGAAATATAAAAGATAACATCTGAGGGAGAATCATAGTAAATAATTGTTAAATATCTACCAGGGAATTATCATTCACAAAAGAACTACTGTAGGGGGAGTGGCTAGGCATAACATACAGATAATCCTTGACTTAAGATCAATTGTTTAGCAATCATTCCAAATTATGACTGCCTTGGAAGGGTTGCTCTACATAAACCATGGTGCTTTCCCACCCCATGGTCACATGACCGCATCTCAGTGCTTGGCAGCAGGCTGGCATTTACAACTAGTTGCCGAGCCCCCTCCCCCAAGATCATGTGATTGTTAATTGTAATCTTCTCTGCTGGCTTCCCAGAAATTCAATGAGGAAGGTTGCAAGCGAGGGGAGCTGAGGTTTTCAGGATATCAGCTACATTCCTGCAGCCCCATGAAGGATTTCCCCTCCATACATGGACAGAAGTTGAAACTCTTTAGTGAGCTGCAGAAAGTTTGAGAGTTAGAGGGCTGCATGCTGCTTTAATGGTGCCAAACTACTTTATCCCGTTGTTTTTTTTTACTAGGTTATTCCATAAACCTCCCTAGCCTTCCCTTGTGTTCTTCACTCTTTTTCCATGACAGAGCAGTCCATACCCCATTGTTCACAAATATCTATCTCACAAGGTCTCCCTGGTCCTTCTCTGGTGGGTCGTTTTCAGCCTACTCTGCTCTCTAAACAACAACAACAACAATGATGACGACGATGATGATGATAATGTTAGAAGGGACCTTGGAGGTCATCTAGTCCAACCTCCTGCTCAGGCAGGAAACCCTATTCCATTTCAGACAAATGGCTGTCCAGTCTCTTCTTAAAAACTCCCAGTGTTGGAGCATTCACAACTTCTGGAGGCAGGTTGTTCCACTGATTAATTGTTCTAACTGTCAGGAAATTTCTCCTTAGTTCTAGGTTGCTTCTCTCCTTGATTAGTTTCCATCTGTTGCTTCTTGTCCTGCCCTCAGGTGCTTTGGAGAATAGCTTGACTCCCTCTTCTTTGTGGCAGCCCCTGAGATATTGGAACCCTGCTATCATATTGCCTTTACTCACTCTATAAATTTAGTCCTAGCTCTCTTTCAGTCCTTAGACTAACTTTAGTTAGTTCTAGCCCTCTTTATCTGCTGTCATCTCCAAAATGTACCTGCAGTAATGATACCTTTCTTCTTTCTTTCCTAGCTTCATCCTATGTTTATTTCCAAAATGTTTTTTGCAATATGTTTAAATCCTTTTCATTATAGATCAGTGTTGAATCCAAGCTGTGTATTAGTAAATATACAGTTCACTTCTTGTGTCTTTGCCTCATCGCAAATTAATACCCCAAAATACTCCCGCCCCTTTCAAAAATAGCATTATTTTTATTAATCAAAAATAAATGCTTTCTGAGAAACTGCTTTCTGTGGACACTCTTTTTACTATGTCTCAGCTGCTGTATTGAGCATTGATAATAGTGAAATTAAACTTGTTTTCTAAATTTGTTGTTCAGATGAAGAAAAGCACTAGTTTTGAATGGATTATTATGCATTTCATTCTGAATATATAATTCATGAATATTTTGTATAACAGTTCTAATATTTTCATTTTAATATAAATTTCACAGTTTGCAAGCGATTGACTTGTCTTGGAATGCTGAGTTACTACCAACAGTTAAGGTATTTGTTCTGAACCTCAGAAACAATACTATATATGTGAATTTATAGTTCTGTGACTTATTATGAAAAGTATCATCTCAGACTGCAGTATAAGATTTTGTTCTAATGTTATTATATATTACACGATTAAATATAATTATATAATCTTTAACCTTAATTTTTAAAAACATATTCAAGCATTATTGTTATTTGCATTGTTTTTTAGATTGTGACTTTGAAACTTCAGGATTATCCATCTTTGACTCATATTGTGCTTCACGTACCAGTAGTTAATGGTATCAAGGTAAAATATAAATTTTTAAACCGAATTTTCAGAAATGAAATGTGAATATCCTAAATGAATTTGCATGTTATGTCATGGTGAATTTGCCACAGCAACAATCTTATTCTGTTTGACCATAGCATATGCTGCAATAAAAGCAGAGAGTTGATATTTTATATTTATAATGGACGAAGCCTTCGCTTGGTTTCAGTTACAATGGTAAAGGGTACACCACTGGTAGATCTAAAGGTTGAGGAAAGATTTCTGTGCGAGTACATAATCAATCAAGCCTTCAGGGGTTTTTTTTCTCCAGTATCTAGGTTAAACAACCACAAGTTCTAAATGACAGATTGTATTTGGAATGGATAGAAATCCACATATTAGTTGTAATATGACAATAAGCAATTTTCAGAACTACAGAACATATGCGCTGACACAAACCTACATTATTCCTGTTAAGTTTGACAAGTAATCCTCAAATTACAACTTTTTGTTCACTGACTGTTCAAATTATGATGGCAGTGAACAAAAGGACGTATGACCAGCCCTCAAAATTATGGCCATTATATTACCCTCGTGGTCATGTCAACAGCATTCGGGCACTTGGCAATCCCTGGTTATGAGATCACTGACCCTTGCTGCCAGCTTCCCACAAGCAAAGTCAATGGGGAAGCCAGCAGGTAAGATCACAAGTTGTTCAGGTTACAGGCCCCTCTCAGCCTTTGTTTGCTTGTATGTACTATTTCTTTCTTCACTCTTTGCTCACTCTCATCTACCAGTGCTCTTCTTCCCCAGCCTCTCTGCACTCACACTCACATGCACCCCCCAGGACTCTCTTTCCCCATACTCACACAATCATGCCCATGAGCACAACTCCTTTCCTGGCCTCCCTTTGCACACACACATGTACACACATACACCTCCTGTTTCCTGTCTCGCTGCACTTGCACACATACACTTCACATCCTCTTTCCTCAATCTCCCTATGCATACAAACATGCACACATTCACATTGCACCCTCTTTCCCTGCCTATCTGAGCTCATACCACTCTGCAGCACTCCCAACTCACATGAGACCTGTGCCAGGGCCTCTGAGAGCCTCCCCCCACCAAAGCACCCCATGCTCCTTGCCTGGAACTCTTAATGATCCATCTGTCTTGGGCTTACAACCGCTTAGACCAGGGGTGTCAAACTGCCTGCCCATGGGCTGGTTGTATCATATGGAGGCCACACCCACCCCAGTTCCGGCAATGCGAAAAAAGTCGTGATACATGGCAACACGTCACGTGATGCGGTGAGTTTGACACCCGTGGCTTAGACTATTTGGATTGCCACTACGGTAATAAATGATACGTTCATGTGATCTAATGCTTTATGACCACAGTTTAGTGATGGGAATCCTGGTCCCAACTGCTGCCATAACTTGAGGACTACTTATACTTAATAATAAGCTTGATTAGCAATGACAATATGTTGTACAATTAAATAACATACTGTCCTATTCTTGAAATCATTTCTTATGATGCTAAGTTGATTATTTCCACATATTTTCAGTGCCTAAAATGGAAATACATGGGCTACAGTGTAATCGGGGGTGATTTAAACAATTATTTTGTATGTTTGTCTTGCAGTTTACTTTAGACTGTGAGTTCTTTAATGAAGTTTCAAGAATAGTGGAACTCCCTGTAACCCATCTTTTTACTTTTGGTAAGTTCAATTCATTGCATTTGACATATGGATTAATTTTGCTTCTCTCTTCTCCTCTAATTGTGATTTTAAATCTATAATCCTATGCAGATTTCTCTGAAAACTGCTCTCACTGAACTCAGTCTTGTTTCTAGATACATATAAATAAGATTGTGTTCTTGTCTTTTAACAAAACATTTTTATAAAATGGTTTAAATTTTTTCCATATTATTATTTATGTTTTATTAATAAGGAATTTGTGTCTCTCTGTTCAGCTAACATTTAAGATGTCTTCTAAAAACCCATTTTAATTTTTATCTTTTAATTCTAACTAACAAAGCAATAATTTCTACAGGGTTTTCTTCAAGCAAAATCATACTAAATTCAACTGGCCTTATTCACATTGTTCAGCTCCAACATTTTGGTCAGGTATTAATTTTTGAAGTGTATACATTATTTGTTTGGTAGAATCTAATGTGGATTAGTTTTGGGAAATAACACTAATCTAGTATGTTATCTTTCTTTAGATATATCAGGCTTTTAGGATCTTTATAGAGAGTAAATGCCAGATTCTCAAAGGTAAATTTATTTCCTGAATATCATTTTCATATATACAAATATTTCTTGCTTGCTTCTTGTACTTTTTGTTGCGTTATCATTTCTTAAATCAGACTAGTAGTATCAAAACAAAACAAAGTGAGAAATTATTGAAACCAGTAACAGAATAACACAATAACAACTTGGAAGGGACCTTGGAAGTCTTCTAATACTACCCCCTACTTAGGCAGGAAACCATGTACGGTAACATTTTAGACAAATGGTTGCCCAGTCCTTTCTTAAAAACCTCCAGCATTGGAGCACCCACAACAACCCACAAGTTGTTCCACTGGTTAATTGTTCTAACTGTCAGGAAATTTCTCCTTAGTTCTAGTTTAGGTTTAATCTGAAAGTGTGTATTTTAGGAGCCATAAATCATTCAGTCAGCAAGAATTCCACAATCAGAGGGCCAACCACTGAGAAAGTTATAACTCTTTTGCCTACCTATCTTAGAAGAGGGCTTATCATCAAAACCGCTACAGCTGATATCAGAGTTCAGGCAACTCATAGATGAAATCCTTATATTTTTTATATATAAATAAATTTACTAATATATTGAATTGAAATTAGAATAAATTGGCAATGCATATTCTCATTCTCAAGATCCAGCAATATATTGCCCATTACAGCCAGAAGTTGTGACAACGTTAAGTGAAGTGCCCATGTGACCACCTCTCTTACAACTCCCCATCCCTGCTCTTTCCGATACCGTCATTAAATGAAGATGCAGGTTGTTAAACGAAGCAAGGAGTGAGGCTCTGGGAGGTCTAGCACAGGCCCTGCTCAGGACCTCCCAAGGCTTCCCCCACCCCCTGAAGCACTCTGTGCTCCATTTCCCACTCCTCAGGATCCCTGCATCACTTGGGTCTGCTTCTCATTCCACTGGGCCTGACACCCTCCTCCTCAGCCTGTGTCACTAATCGCACACTTATCTTTCGAAAATCTCTGGAGCTTGGATTAGTGAAGGAGGAAAGGCCACTGCATTGCTGGAAAATGGTACCTGCTTCCAAGATCACCTCACCTCACACAACCCAGCAATGGAGCGTCATGTCCTCCTTCCCCAACCCAAGCACGAGAGTTCCAGGACTCTTTAAAAGGTAAGTGCCTGTGGTGACCCAGTGTGGGAGATGAAGGGAGATAGGCTGGGGGGCAGGCGGAGCTCTGCAGCATTGCTGCAGTCTATCATAAGGACAACTTTATCCGTAACTATGGGAACATGTTGTAAGAAGCTTTTTGGGATCTGCCGTACCTTTGGTTGTAAGACAAAGATTACCTTTAATAAGACCTCTATACCCTACTTTTGGGATTGGGGATGTTCATAAACTTCTGCAACTCCAAAATGAGATTTTAAGAACAAATTGCTATTGTTCAAAACTGTTCTTTTGATCGGAATTGATTGGCTACTACCCAAATCTTTATGATTTGTTGAACTTGAAGTACTTAAAAAATGTTTTATTTTGTGCTTTCATTTGTCCCTTAAGAAAGAAAACCCAGTGTGTATCGACTTCATATACCATGGTCACACGAAGATTCTTTAACTTTGTCACAGTAAGGATTTCTCATTCTTCATTTACATTGTTGAAATATAATAGGCTATATAGTATTTTCATCTGCCTATTTTACAAAATAGATATCTTTTACTTCTGATAGATAAGCTTCATATAATAGGCTATAAAGTATTTTCATCTGCCTATTTTACAAAATAGATATCTTTTACTTCTGATAGATAAGCTTCATGAAAATTATAAGTTAAAAATCCAATTTGTCCCACACAGTCATCTGCCTAAACAAGTAAGTAAGGAGAGTGAGGCAGAGCTACATACTTGTGCCATTACCTTTTAACTTGTATACAAGTAACTATGGCTTCTGACTGAAATTGGGACCGGATTTCTGGTTATAAGTAATTATGGTAGAAAGTTGAGGTGCCCAGATGACCAGATCTGATTTTAAGACGCTTGTTGTGACACTTGTTAAACAAAATCATCATGTTCATTTAGCAAATCCATGCTTGTTAAGCAAGCATCATGGTCATAAATGTGAATTCATTCTGAATTCCAAACTGGAAACAGGCAAAACTGCCTGTTTTTGCAAAAAAAACATCGCAAATTGTGGCCGTGACAATGCAACCAGTTGTAAAAGTGAGCTAGTTGTGAAGCACCTGAAATGCATTCATATGACTGCCAAGGGGGTGGCACAATACAGTATTTTATGATAGTTAGAAGTGCTTTACGGGCCATAAAGCATTGTTTCAGGCCTCTTGTAATTTTGAACAATCATTAAGCTGAGTACTATTTGAATAATTTATTTGGGTTACTATCAAAACAGTGTCTAATTTTCTTTCCCCAAAGCTAGCTTATAGACTTACCACAGCTAATGATGTAGTTCTCCTATCCGATACCTTGACTGGATTAAAGTGCGTTTTGAGAGCCTTTGCCTTTTATTGCAAGCTCAAAGAATTAGTAATGAATTTTGGGGGGAAAAAATGGAAATCTTGATATTTGCTAAATGCCCTACGTGACAATTAAATGGCCAGGTAATTGAGCAAATCGAGGCTTTTCAGTATTTTAGACTTATTTTTCAGACTTCCAGTAGGAGAAATACAATGTCATTCAGAATCTTCAAATATCATCTTTGGCAACTCGAATGTTCTGATTGGGACATTATTTATCTACCGCTGAGTGCTTCCAGCTCTTGTATGTTCATATGTATGTTGTATGTTTTATACTGTGGCTCAAATGTAGTCCCTTGTTAAGACTGAAAGTAAAATTTGACTAATTTTTTAACTATAGTTTAAAGCTTAAATATCACCCATAAACGTATCCCTTTTGATACTAGGTGATTATTTCAGTGATAGATAGAATAGATATTTACTAAAGAAGCTGTACTTCTTTGGATTATCTGAGGGAGGTCTTTTATTTATTTTAGAGTTGTCTTTGAGCTTTTGGCTGAATTGGAGAAAACATTACTTATTTGATTTGCCTATTAAGAGATGGGTTATGGGATGAAGTGCTATTTATCACCTCTTCCTGGTTAACCTATTTGTTAATAAGTGAAGAGATTATGAAATTGTTTATACTTGTCATGGTGAGGATGGGAAGTTGTTTTCTTAGGGGGGGAGATTTATTTATTTATTTTTGCTCTGTTGCACCTTTTTTCCTTTCTTTTTAGTTTGCATTATCTTTTATTGTTCTATCTAAAGTTGCTAATAAATGTATTACACAAAAATCCCCCAAGGCACTGTACATTCTTGTTTTATCAGTTTTTATCAGAATTTCAGAGTTATAGCCTAATTAATATGTTTGTATGCATGTGTGTGCATTGGTGCACAAATATATGCACATGCGTGTGATATTGAATATTTCCTGTCAATTTTTTTCTTCATGGGAATTCTCCTGAAAATATTCAAATGTGTACATGCAGATACACACACACACACACACACACACACGCCCCATGGTGAAATTTCTCTATCAGTCCATGATACTTCTTATTTGTATGCTATGGAATAATTCCAAAAATGGTAGAAGAGGCTGCATCACTCCCTTCAATTCTTATTTTTCCAAATACTTTCCATCTTCCACTTCCATCAGTCCTAGTCTGATTTTTTATTTCTGACTGACATTAAGCAGGGTTCATTTGAGTTTTTAATTAGATTGTATCATCTTTTAAAGTTTCTTTTGCAGTTGAGTGGAACTAATGGGCCACTTGTCAAAATATGAAACTCTGAATCATTCTAGAGGCTTTTGTCATAAAATATATTATTAATGTTTTTGCTTATTTCTTGTGAGCTGCCCGGAATATTTTGTGATTGCAGTAGGATATATATTTGATTAATATATAATAAATAAAATAGATGGAATTGCAGAAAAATATTTAGTGTATGCTTTTTTAAATTAAGTGCTAATATTTCATGTTGCTGCACCTTCGTGACTGTAGCATTTATGCTATCTTAAGTTTGATTTCTGTTTAGATGTGATGCCTTGCTTTGCAGATTAATAGTTTTTAAAATTAACTATTTTAGGGATCCTTTGACTGAGATTTCTGCAAAATTGCACATTGCACAGCCTGAAAATGACTCTACAGTTCCTTTGTTGAAAATTTATTCATCTTCAGATTGTCAATATGAAGTAAGTAAAAGCTATAAAAATGTTCAATTCCTTCTGTTTTTCTTCAGAATAAGGTATCCTATATTTTTTTATTTTTTTTATTTATTTTATAAATTTGCATAACACCTTAGTCACAAAAGTACAGTACTTCTATGATTTGTATCCATAGTTTTGAAAAACTGAGACTAAATGATCTTTGCTTTCATCTTCAGTTTATTTGTAACTTAAGGGCTCATTTTAAATATACAGGGTTCAGTGACCATTCAAAGTTGCTATGGGGTTGAATGAGTGGTCCTTGAAATTATGCCCATTGCAGCAATCAAACACTTATGACATCCTGCAGTCATGTGATTGCAGGATGTTTGTGACCTCCCCTGCATGCTTCTCACAAGCAAAGTCAATGAGGAAGCTGGCAGGGAAGGTTGCAAGGTTGGTAAATTCCCCTAGTCTTTCTGCATTCATACCACATTATCCTCTTCCAGTTTTCCTGCATTCACACCAACCCATCAGCCCTTGTCCTTGTACCTTGCCACAGCAGCAGCCTCCTCCAATTTGTGCATGAACGGTGCCAGTTTCCTCCACGTACTTGTATATCCACATGCTCCTTTCCTGATACTCCTACCACTTCCTGTTTAACAGTCTGCAGGTCTTGGGGTTACGATGGCCACTGGGTTGTTGGGATTGTCATTGCTAAGCGAAACAACCACATGACGTCTCACTTTACAAACACATTGCTTAGTGATGGCAATCCTGGTCCCAATGTCTTTGTGACTGGAGGACTATTTATGTTGTATTTCTTAAAAGATATCTATACTTCTCTCTGTGTGATGAAATGATAAAAGCAAGATTGAGGTACATCTATGATTGTATAATCGGCATAGCTGAAGCCATGAAACCAAGATAATGAATTGTGCTAATTGATCTTCTGGACTAGGAAAAGCATCAATACTGATGATGATTGGGGGTGGCTAGTTTCAACCCATTGGTGAAATAGGTGAAATAGTTTCAACCTAATGGTGAAAAGCATCAGTATTCATATGAGGTAACAAGCCTCTCTGGGAGATATTTGAACTGAGACATTTGATCTTCGGAAGATCTGACATCGAAAGTAAAAAATACCACAAGAGTATCAGATTAGTATTAACAGCAGGACTTCAATCTGCACTTGGCAAGAGACTGGAAGCTTAAGGCAGTTGTATAGGAGAGAGAAGCTATGAAATTTGGCCGTTTGTAACGTTTATTTCTGTAAAACATTTTAGTAACCTAATATGGAGATCATTTAAAATGTGAATCACTGTGGATGAGGAGCCTTCATTTAGGAGAGACTGGGGTTCTAAACTAGAAGGCATTTTGTGTACCTTGCTCACTTACTGTATTTATCTTTCCAGTAAAAGTTTTTAATTTTTTTATCTCAAGTATTTGTTTTTAAATAAAAAAATCTTTGATATATGTGTTAAACTAGGTAACTGTCAAGACCTCTTTTCTGCAGGTCCTTGGTCAGGTAAGATTTTATTTAATAGCTTATATACAATTATGTTTAAGTAGATTAAGAGAATATTTGCAACTTAATACAATTTGATACATTTTAATTGATCAGTTACTGCAGGGGTGTCAAACTGCCAGCCTGTGGGCCAAATGCATCATGGCAAAACCGCGCCCACCAATTGCCGGCAATGGAAAAAAAGTCACGATACATTGCGACACATCATGTGATGTTGCGAGTTTAACACCCCTGAGTTACTGTTAGAGCAGTATGTTATTTAAGGGTTAATCATGGCCTTCAAAGGTTAATCATGGCTTTAAAAAATCCCTAAATAAAATTCATTTACTGGACTTCTCTATGGAAGGTTTGTGCTTAATAGATTTTGATAATATTAAAATTACCTCCAAACAATGAATTTGGGATATGGATCTCCAAACAAATTTAAGAAAGGTGTCACACCCCAATATTTATCACATTCTTCCAAAAGAGTTCACTCCAACCTCCTATTTATCATTTATTACAATTCTGAAATTTTATAAGGCCCTCATTTTAGCCAGGCTGCATGCATTGCCCTCAGCAGTCCTTTTGGGATGTTTATGCACCTTTGATTATGTCCATGCAGTGCAATAGAAACACTTAACTCTCATACTACCATGCTGCTCCCTATATTCTATTTTATTTGAATATATCTCTTCTTAATTATTTTGGTCCTATTATTGTTTTCTATTAGATATTTTATTGTATCTGGCCTTAGGGCTGTAATAAACTGATTGAGGAAATAGTGTGAATAACTGATGGCTCCACCTGCTTTTGAGTATGCACACAGTATCTTTTTCCAACAAAATTGAATAGCAGAATGGGGCATAATTCTGCCTTGTTATATTACAAATATACAATCATGAATTCGTAGAATCCATCATTTTCTATTAAAATAAATAATGTATGCCTGCCTGCTTTAAGGTAGAATTTAAAGCAGTCACGTAATTACTTTAAAATGGGAAGGAAGTACACTAGGAAGATAATTTAAAATGGCAATTTTTTCTGAGTGCATATAGTACTTACCTTTGTCACTGGATATGTGAACATCTGCTGCACCTTATTTCATAACAAAATTTTTGCACATTCAACAATTTAAGCCTTTGAGCTATGCATAATGCATGTACTGTATATAATTAGACACTTGTACTAAATTGAGTATGATTGAATTCTGAGCTAGCAAGTCTAGGATTATTAGGTACACTATAATATGAGATTTATGATTCCTATAGTTTAATTACAGATCTGTTATTTGTTGACAGGAAATACATATTTTTGCTGAACTAGGAACTTAGACATTGAATAATGCAATGTTGTTTCGTTTAAATAAAAAGAGTAAAGTGAAAAACCCAATCACATTTCAGAATGTTCAGCAAGCTTGTAAAATAGTATTGTTATTGCTAGAGTGCAAATTTACTGTAAATTATTTAAAGCCAGTTTTGTATATAACACTCCATTATTCCAGATAATAACATTCTAAACAGATTGAAAAAACTCCAATCATGTGGTTTGGAGCAGGATAGGACAGCAATAAGATGGCAGCTGATGTTGTCTGTTGGTGTATTAAAATTCTCAGATTAGTTTTGTTTAAATCCACCTTGCCTTAATTTAAACATTATCCACATAACTGGTCACATTCTAGGTTCTTTAGGTACACATATCATAGTCCATGCTTTTTTTTAAAGAAATGAAGATTAGATTCTGATCACTCAGCAGGATACGTGGCTCTAATGAATCCCAAAGTAATCTGAACATTTCCAGATTTTTTTGTAAATTGCTAGCCACACTTTGAGACTAATATTTAAGCTGATCTCATACATATTGTGATGGAATACCCACCTGAAGAAGCAGTGGAAGGGAGTCTTGGCAGCACAGAACTTTCCCAGGAAGGAGATGGTATATATCAGAGAGAAGCTAAAATTAAGAAACTGCAGTCCTGAGCTGGATGGGGGAGGGTGCAGAAAGGTTCCCGGAAGCCACACCATAGAATCTCTCAGGATATATCTAGTAGGCTAGAGCAGTGGTTCTCAACCTTTTTAATGCCGCGACCCTCAACCGGTCGTAAGTCGAGGACTAAACCGGTCATAAGTCGAGGACTAAACCAGTCATAAGTCGAGGACTACCCAACTGGTCGTAAGTCGAGGACTTTCCCTGCCCGGGAGCACCGCACATGCGTGGTTCCGCCCCCTGCGCCAGCCGAGGCATAGCTGGCAAGCGGCAGAGACGGAGCAGGCCAACCACCAGCTGGTCAAGGGAGGTAAGGCACCCGCCGGAAAAGGGGAAAAAAATGGTGGACAGCCTTGCTTGGCGACCCCCGTGAAATGGTCAATCGACCCCAAATGGGGTCGCGACCCATAGGTTGAGAACCGCTGGGCTAGAGGGTTATAGCTTTAGCTTGGCAAGATTCTGTCTATTAGTTGTAAGCAAATAAAGGATTGAACTCAATTGGATTTCACTGTGCCATCTTTGGGCTTGGACCTGACTCATAGACATGCGATTACCACAACTCACACTGTCTTGCTATTCTTTAATATTTACATTGGAACATACAATCTTCCTACAAATCAATCAGAAAATAGATTCACTTCCTAATCTTTTTTCCCCTTAATAGACTTTTGAGAGTGAATTGATTAGGAAATCTTAAATGCAAGTCTTTCTGTTTCCGTGAATCTTCAGGATGGTCTCAAGCAAGACATTTTGTTATATCTATACAGAATTGTAAGAATTATTGAGGTAGTTAGTATAGGTAAAAAAGGGAAAGGTGGAATGATTTTTCCATGTTCTTGTTTTCCAAAAAAACATCTTTGTTTTGTAGGTGATAAGATTCCACGGTGGCATTCTTCCTATGTACATTATTTCTAATATTCTTCTTGCCTACAGAAGACAATTAAGGTCCCTAGTGTCAACAGGTAACATTACATGAAAAGATTTTTAAGCAAGGTTTGTTTATCGCTATAAAACTAGTTCACATTGCATTTCATTTTATGTTCATGTTCTGTGTCATCGCTTTTAAAACAAGACTGAGATTTGTTGAAAAGTATTTATAATCAAACAAATCCCTTGTAGAATGCAAAGAGATAAAATGTTTACATTATTAGTAATTAGTAAGTTATGAATATTTCATAGCTTATTGACTTTTAACAGGATCATATTTTAAAAGGTTTAAGGTTTTCACAACACAGGTAATCCTTAAGTTACAATGACAATTGGGACCAGAATTTCTGTCACTAAGCAATGCAGTTGTAAGGTTCAGTTCCACTTGCTGTCTCTTAGCGATAGCAATCCCAGCTCTCCCCTTGCTGTTGCTGAATCTCAGCAGCTATTAGCCAAGGACCCATCCTGATCCAACCCATTCCCATCTGGATCCTCCCAGCCCTGATCTCCAGTTCTTTCAAAGTAAGAGACTACCTCTCCTTCAACCCTCCCCCTGAACTGTCTTTAGGTCATCTGGGGGGGGCAGAGCACAGGGCAGCAGGGGGCTGGGAGTGCAGGGGGCCAAAACCGCAGATATGGGGGAGAGATAGGCAAGTAAGAGGAGTTACACCAGTGGTTCTCAACCTTTTTAATGCCGCGACCCCAACCGGTCGAGGTCTAAACCGGTCGTAAGTTGAGGACTAAACCGGTCATAAGTCGAGGACTAAACCGGTCGTAAGTCGAGGACTCCCCAACTGGTCGTAAGTCGAGGACTTTCCCTGCCCGGGAGTGCCACGCATGCGTGGTTCCGCCCCCTGCGCCGGCCGAGGCGTAGCTGGCAAGCGGCAGAGACTGAGCAGGCCGACTACCAGCTGGCCCAGCTTAAGGGAGGTAAGGCACCCGCCGGAAAAGGGAAAAAAATGGTGGACAGCCTTGCTTGGCGACCCCCGTGAAATGGTCAATCGACCCCAAATGGGGTCGCGACCCATAGGTTGAGAACCGCTGAGTTACACCATCCCCTGTGGTTGATTATGTGGCCATAACTTCAGGGACCGCTGAGTACAATTTGTTCAGTGCCACCGTAATTTCAAATGATCACTGAATGAATGATCATAACTTGAATATACCAGTATAGGAATAAAGCTTTTAAAAAGCATATATTATACTGGGCTTTTTAATAAGACTTGTAAAGTGGACATGGAAATGTATGCATGGGACTACACATTATTTTAAATTAAATATAGGTATTTAAATTAAATATATGGGTTTTAATTTTTTTCTGTTTCTGCACAAGTAAAAAGACAGTCTAAGAAGTAATTGATTTCAGTGGTATAACTTTTAAGCGTTTTTAAATGTATTCTGAAAAGATAAATATTAACGTTATCATTTAATTTGTGAACATGTGGTTTCAGATATTTTTTCTTTTATTCTAGGTCAGTGTTCTGACTTTGTTCCTGCCCTTACTAAGGCAGCTAAGCCTTATAAAGTAGAGCCCATAGCATATATGATTAAGTTCTTGTTGGGGTATGTTTCTTTTTAATATATTTAATGTATTTTTATTTTACATTAAAATACATTTTAATTTTAATATTATGTATTTAATTATATTTATTTATTTTTAATATAATATATTTAATATATTTTCTATAGTTACAGATTTTTTCTCAAACATTTGCATTTTATAACTAAGTTTATAGCATACACACACACACACACATACACACATATAAACATTAATTTTTTAGCTAAAATTAATTAGTAGTTTTTGGAAATGCAGGTAATCAAACCAAATAACTATCATGCTGTCTATTGTTTTTAGACTTAGCTGGCTTAAAGGACTCAGGAATTCAGAGTTGGATCGTGTGACAGTGAACAACCAAGACTCGTGGTTTCCTTTGGTATCCCTGATTCTCTTTATGTTTGGGACTGGCATAGCCTATTGGGGTGGCATACTTCTTGATTCATCAATAAGGCTCTTATCTTCATTGCACTTAGTTTTGACAAGGTAAAAATCAATAAATAAATGCAAAATGTTTAGTGGTATTGCTGGAAACAACATTTGGCAAAATGTTGAAGAGAAGTATACTCTCTCTGCCATATACAAAATGCAAGACTATTTTCTGATTGACATTTTTTAAATCATCTTAAAACTGAAGCACCTGTAAATATCACAAGCACAGTGCAAAAGTTTGTGATGTAGCCCCTAAGCCCTATAGTTACTAGTATTATGCACAAACCATTGTATCACTTAAAAAGCAACAGGAATCAATTATTTACTACAATCCTGTGTTCTACAGGCAACACTTGCACAAAAGGTAAAATGAGTCCAGCAATTTGACGAATTGGAAATGGGTCATATTTGCTCTGAGTGGCTTGATCATCTTTTCTCAGAATGGAAAGTTAACAACACTTGAAGTCACATTTAAAAAAAAAATAACACACAAGAAAGTATTGCTCCAAGTAAACTATTTGGATGTGTCTAAGAGATCACCAAGAACAGAACTTGAAAGGGTTTTTACCTTCTAATACAGTGGTTCTCAACCTTTTTAATGCCGCGACCCCAACCGGATGTAAGTCGAGGACTAAACTGGTCGTAAGTCGAAGACTAAACCAGTCGTAAGTCGAGGACTAAACCGGTCATAAGTCGAGGACTACCCAACCGGTCGTAAGTCGAGGACTTTCCCTGCCCGGGAGCACCGCGCATGCGTGGTTCCGCCCCCTGCGCCGGCCGAGGCGTAGCTGGCAAGCGGCAGAGACGGAGCAGGCCGACCACCAGCTGGCCCAGCCCAAGGGAGATAAGGCACCCACCGGAAAAGGGGGGAAAAATGGCGGACAAAAAAAATGGACAAAAAAATGGCAGACAGCCTTGCTTGGCGACCCCCGTGAAATGGTCGATCGACCCCAAATGGGGTCCCGACCCACAGGTTGAGAACCACTGTTCTAATAAAACAATGACAAAGTTAGGAAGAAAAATCTCTCTAACTGGTTTTTTTTCTAAATGATTTAGGAGTCTAAAATTCATAATACATAGTAATTTTTTGCTAGGCCAATGAAAAGATCACAAAATTATGTGCAAAATTTTGAATTCCCTAGAGTTGTCAATTGGATTAGAGAAAAAAATGAGCAACAGTAAGTAGTTAATTCTGAATCTCAATATTTCCCCACTTTTGACACACAAATTTTGCCTTGTTCAAATGCTTCAACTCGAAGAAAATGCTTGACTTCATTTCCTACTTGGTATTAGACTGAGAAGCAATTGTTTACAGAGAAAAATCCTTCCAAATAACCTACCTGGGTTCTACTATTTATAATTCCAAGACACTATGGACCTTATTGAGAATTTTATGAAATTGAAAAGTTGTGACTTTTAAAACCTTGTTGTTATTGTTATCAAGAAAGTTATTGATGAAGAAAGTTATTGATCTTCCTGAAAAGTATTTCTGAAATCAGAAACAGTCTTTTGAGCAAGGCAGGATATATTATACACAGAATGTATTCATAAACGGACATGTTAAATTTTAAACTCGTTTGGAAGAACTATAACAAGTATGTATTATGAATAAAATATTCTACCAATTAATTGATAAACTCCTCCCACCCTTCTACCATAGACCTAGGAAGTTTTAGATTTCACTCCTATCAGTGTAAGTTATCAAGACTGCTGCCAAATTGTTAGGTGTATTGAAGTTTGAAGTACTTCAGCCTGATATCAGCCTGCCTACTCTTTCCATAAACAAATTTGTAGTTTAAAGGGTACTTTTAAACAGTAATTTTACACTAAGTAGAACAACTAGCCATTCATTTGTATCTTTTTTGTGTATGTGTATTCTTATTTCCCTCCGTGTGTTGTTACAAATCATGGTTTAATATTACCTATGAAGTAGAAAAAGTATAAGATGGAATGGGATGAGATACATAAGATAAAATAAGATAAGATAACTTTTATTGTCTCTTTCTCTGTGGCACACATTAAAAAATGAAATTCTGATGCCTGGTCTGAAAAAAAAAATAAGCTGAAATGTTAAAAATCCACCCATATAATGGTAAACGGCACGACAAAATAATGAAAGAGCTAATTGCAAGAAAAAAGTACATTATGCATTATGTGACCCTATACATTTATAGCAATTAAACTACGATTAAGAAACGTAGCTGGCATATCTGATTTGGGAAAGCCAAGGTTGTGATTAAATAGCAAATCATTTAGAATGTTGACTCTTACTGAGTCTACTGAATCTTACTTTAATATTGAGTAATAAAAAAATGGAAAACAGCCAAGTGACTTTCAACCCACATTTGAACATTAGAGCTCTAAAAAGCCAGTCCATAGTGTGAGTCACAACAATACTTAACACAAACCACAGTTTGGTGTGAAGTTTGAATTCTATTTTGCTTTGTAATATAATGAATATTTTATTTCATAAATGTGTTTATTTTCTAGACCCTCTGGACTTCCATCTCACAACAATCTCATTACCCGATTAAGGTTTTGTGTTGCAGTTTCAATGGTTTTTCTTAGCTGGACTACCTGTGGAGCGCTGGCAATAATGATGACTTATTTTCATTATATATTCAAGGTATTTAAACAATAAAAGTTATGTGATATAATACAAACATAGTATTGACATTTTTAGGCTACAGATTGGTTAGATAATTTCTCACTAGTTTAGATCTAGTTTGCTAGTTTGGCGTTTAGATCATCCATGTCACCCATATGTGAGTCTATGTACAACCTCTGTATAAAAATTTACTGCTTTGATCAGATAACATTGCTGGTAATCAACATAGAAGTGCCTCTAGGGAAAAGTCAGAAGGATGGAGAGCTGTTGAATAATTCTTAACCAGCTTATACAATTCATCCCTTTGCCCCTGAAATAGGTTTATGCTCCCTGCTCATTAATCTTTCTCTCCAAGGAAGAACACAGACTAAAATATTTTAAGAAATGGATTTTAAATAATGTAGCAGTAAAATCTCAAAGAAGTTCCAGGTATGTAGGGTATTATATATGAATTCAATAATGTGGTAAGATTGTATAGTGCTCAAGCAATATAAGAAAACCACAAAGATGCCAGATAAGTGCTTTAAAAATATATAAAAAGTAAACTGTAGAACAATGAAGTATAGAATAGTAAAGCACAACCATTAAATTAGGAAGCTGTGATCATAGGCATATAATGTTGTAGCTAAAATATATGCTTTTTGTTACAGGTTGTTAATTTCCATTCAAATTTAAGATCTGAACTAAGTGTTGGTAATGTGGTAAGTCTGTTTATTTATGTTTTTTGTTGTTGGCTTAAGAACATTTGTGCTTAACATATACAGAGTTCCTGTTCTTGCAGAATATCACTACTCAACATTATTTCATGGGGATTTACTATTTTTCCCCTATGGCGAAAGGGTGAAAAAAATCTCTATTAGATCAGGTTTAGTTTGCCACTGTAATTTTGTGTCTTCGATCTCCCAGCTTCTTTTTAAGAAGAAATAGATTACTTCTTTTATTTTAGTGTTTCCAGTGCTTGAATAATTCTTCATAATAATGTAGTGATAGCATCAAGATAGCACCATGAGAGGAAGCCCAAAACATTGGAGACAACTGAACATCATGGGAGGAAATAATAATAATAATAATAATAATAATAATAATAATAATAATAATAATAATAATAATAATAATAATAATAATAATAATAATAA